GACAGCTTCACACAGCATCAATCTTAACAAATGGAAAAGTGTTAGTTGTTGGTGGAGACAGTGGATTGCCTCTGAATAGTGCTGAGTTGTATGATTCATTAACAGGAACTTGGACAACTACTGGTAATATGAATAATGTACGAACTGCACATACAGCATCTATCTTAACAAATAGAAAAGTGTTAGTTACTGGTGGATATGATGTTAGTGGCGGGGGCTATCTAAATAGTGCTGAGTTGTATGATCCATTAACAGGAACTTGGACAACGACTGCTAGCATGAATAATGCAAGACTTTCTCATACAGCATCCGTATTAAAAAATGGACAAGTGTTAGTTACTGGCGGAACTTATAATGGTAATTATTTAAATAGTGCTGAGTTGTATAATCCGTTGACTGGAACATGGACAACTACTGGTAGCATGAATTATGCACGATACAGTCACAGAGCATCCGTATTAATCGATGGAAAAGTGTTAGTTACTGGTGGATTCGGTAGTGGTGCGTTTCTTACTAGTGCTGAGTTATATGATCCATCAGCAGGAGCTTGGACAACTACTAGTAACATGAATTATGCACGATATTTGCACGAAATATCCTTATTAACCGATGGAAAAGTGTTAGTTACTGGTGGTTGGACTGGTAGTGGCTACACAAACAGTGCTGAGTTATACTAAACTACTGGAAACAGATTGACAATAAACGACTTTTTTGCTTATTGTTGCAAATAGTTCCGACTGCAAATACTATTCGAAAAAACAAAACTTTAATTTTTTTAGTAATAATGCAGTATTTCCTTTGAAGCCCTTGTTAAATTGCGGTGCATGAGAAAATTTTCTTTTAAAATAAGTGTCTTTTCATTGTAGTAGAAAAGTGTTCATTGATTCAATCATTTATGATTTTTCTCAAGTATTTCATTAAATCTACAATTTATTTTCGACATAAAATTTGCAGGTTGAAAATGTTTTTGATTCGTGTAATATGCACAGTCTGTCTCGTTTTTGACAGTAGATTGCAGTTCTCTTTGACCACTCCTCCTTTACCATCACCTTGTTATACCGAACACCCTCTGGTCTCTCCGAACGAATTTAGCTGGTTTTCAACTCCTCCCACATGAACACTCCGCTATTCTCACTGTGAACACAGTTTTTTGGTCCCACTGTATATATTGACCTTGTCAATTTGAACAAGAAAAGAGGACGCCATTTGACCAAACAACATGATTGTCAGTGTCGAAGTAATTACTGCGCATTTAATCGAGTTCTATGGTTTAATTCAACACTATATGCCGACTTTCGAGAAACTCATTTTTAGTCGTGTATTCTTGATAAGTCTAGTAAAGTTTTGTTGATAAATCGAAGCGAGTATTACTTGACTAGTAGCTCTACGGAGGTACATCGTAAAAATCTCAAGTTCATGCATCTTGGACTTTTCTATCAATCTTGATATTGGATGGCATGGATACTAGCTTTGGTTTTGAGACGAATATTTTATTTTAGTTTGATAAGGTTAAAGAACATATGTGAGTTCCATACTTGAGCCTCAAAGGAGCTGCTCTAATAAGACTTTTTTTTGAAATAAAAAAATATTTTGGGGTGCTTGTTATGTGTGGTGGGACTGGTAAGTTCCTCCGTCTTGAGTGAAAAGAAGCCTATCTACAGTTGTTCACACTGTTCTTATCAATGTTGTATTTGGCCATTTACGGCTATCATAATACTCATTTATGGGATTTTTCTTATCCTCATATAGTACACATGCAGATTGGTGTCAACTAGGGAACTAATGTATTTTACTATACGATGACGCGGTTTCTACGCTTATTCTGTTTTCTTTTTCATCTATATCAATATAGGTGAAAAGCAATGTTCTACCCATGAGATATCGAACATGTGTTGATATACTTTCATACTTAATGAAATAAAACAAGTCAAATGAATGACTTTGGATCCCTATAAATTTAATCTAAGAACAATAAATATTTATGATAAACAATATCATAAAGAAAGGATATCGAAATGACAGAATTTACTTTTGCATAAAAATTACAAAAATAAGTCCTGTATAGATTAAATTTATACTAGATAATATTGACATTGTATAATTCCATTTTATTACTATTTAATAGTGACAATATGACGTAATCATCGACTGTTTTTTGGTCCTCATATAGTACCTATCCAGACTGTTTTAATCTGGAAAACTAATTTATTTTGATATACAATGACGTGATTCTACACTCGCTCTGTTTTGTTTTCATCTATATCAATATAGGTGGAAAACAACGTCATCCCCATAGAATATTGAACATGCGCTCATGTGCTACCATACTTAATGAAATAACATTGGTGAAACGAACGACTTTAGGTAACTATAAACTTATTTTCGCTATTATGAACATAAATGTATAATTATATAAAAACTATCTATGAACAGATATAAGAGTTGATAATCAGGATGGATTACAAGTCAATTGTCTTTCGCGAGTTTACACAAGAATCATTTCAACGTATTGAACGTTATCGACAAGAAGAAGCTGAACGCATTGCTTCTGAACGATTAGAACGGCAAACAATACGTGAAGAAGATAATGATAAACGTCATTGTATGAATAATTCAACGAAAGATGAAGCAAATGGTCCTAAACAAAGGCCTAATAAAGAATTAGCTGTTGGACAAAAATTACCACGACTTTTACAAAATAAATTTCCAACTGAACTTATTGGAAAACCAATTGAAGAAATCGATTCCTATTATCGTACAGAATATGTATGTATAATCTTCTGAAAATATTTGTTTTATTCTTTTAAAATTATAGATATTTGTTGTTATTAATCAAAATCATACAATATTTCGATTTAGTGCAACATCAGCTTGTTTTATATTTTCTCCATTTAATTGCTTTCGACGTTTAGCTATACGTATATTAACACATTCACTTTTTAGTACATTGGTTATGCTTACTATTTTAAGTAATTGCATATTTATGACACTTAGAAATCCACCAGAAATAACTGAGTAACTGTGATACTCTTTTAGATTCTTCTTAATGACACGATGTATTTTTTTTCTAATTAAAAAAAATAGATATGTTTTTACAATCATTTACACATTTGAAGCATTAACAAAATGTGTTGCACGAGGATTTATTCTACAAAAATACACATTTTTACGTGATCCATGGAATTGGTTAGATTTTATTGTAATTACACTTGCGTATGTATTAAAAAGAGGAGACATTTATTTTTTGAGCTTTTCGTTCGATTATTTTTTTTTAGATATATAACATTTTTTGTCGACTTGGGAAATGTTGCAGTACTACGAACATTTCGTGTGTTAAGAGCATTAAAAACTGTTGCCATTGTACCTGGTATATTGTTTAATATTTATAGATTGTTAATTAATTGATTATTGTAGGTTTAAAAACAATTGTTAATGCTTTAATACAATCTTTTATTTCTCTACGAGATGTATCTGTGTTATCAAGTTTTATTCTTTCTATATTTGCTTTGGTTGGAGGTTTAGAAAAAAAAATATTGGATAACTTGTTCTTTTAATTATAGATAGGATTACAATTGTATATGGGCATTCTTCGACAAAAGTGTGTGCAAACTTATGAATCTTTCTTAAATAATTCCAATTTTTCCAGTATTGGATTTAATATGTCATATGAATCCTATTTGAAAGAAATGGACAATGAAAGTATGTTGAGATATTATTTATTACGATTAAAGATAAGACTGTTAGTATGGTAAATGATGCCATATTTCGTTTTTATTTATTGAATAAGTCGAACTTGTTATGATGAATATTCACTGCAGAGTATTACTATTCTCCGCGTAATTAAATTTTTATTTCAACGTCGTAGCGTGAGGACGCGAAGAGTCCCTCGAGAAGTCACGACTCGTGCGCGTCTATGTATACACAGTGATCGTAAGATTTGTCGAATGTTCCTATGCGCTTTAGTGAAAAAGCCGTTCAATCGAATGCGTGACCTTAAATTGTAGTATCGCCGCTATCTAGAGTATGCTGATTGAAACATACACATCTGAGAACAGCTAAGAATATCACGCAAATATAGAACACAAACATATCTGAGTTATTATATTTAAACGATTTTTTGTTTGTTTTGGCTACAATTATTCTGATGTTTTTTTTTTGGAATCTTTACTTATTTTCGAACTCGAATTGGACATTTACTTATTGAGTATTGCTGAATAACTGAAATCATGCTTTTAACGGGTGGCGTTTAAAGAATGCGTCTCTCAGTATTTTACAATATGTCTCAGCAGTTCTTCAATATAACGGAACAACATACCTTATTTCTTTTAGACCCAATGAAACGAATAGATTCAGAACACATCACTTTCATAAGTCTTTTTCTAGCCTTTCTCTCAATCATACAAAACTTGAATCAATCATAAGTCCGAAAACTACCTCTAATGAAACCTTGCGAAGAATCAACTACTTAAGCAAATAAATATTAGTTTTAATCGGTAAGATAAATATTGGTACAACTCCTTTGAAACTTTGAACATACAGTCACCTGCAAAATTCTTTTGCTTTTCATTATTCACAAAGGAATATTGATCACAATTCTTCTAAGGACTTTATTAGAACTAGTTTCGGACTTATAATTGATTCAACTCTTGTATAATAAAGAACAAGGTTAAAAAAGAATTATGAAAGTGATGTATTCTGAATCTATTCGTTTCATTGGATCTAAAGAAATTAGGTGTATTGTTCTGTTTAAGTGAAAGATGCCAAACTAAACAAGGAATCTATGAAGAAAAAGATTGTCTTTTTATATTGAATGACTGCCGAGAAATATTTCAAAATATTGAAAGGTTTACTCTTTATGGATCATGTGTTATTTTGATGTAGTTTCCTTTGTAAGATGCGAAAACACACACACCTGCTGATAATTAGGTAAATATCTTAAGCACATTAGACTAGAAAGAGCAACTTAATTTCTGTTTAGTGTCAGTGTATACCATCACTGATGTTAACCATAATCTTGATAATTTACTTTTCATGTTTTACTTTTACAGTTTATTGGTATAAAGAAAATGATCTTTATGTTCTTTGTGGTAATGCAAGTGGAAGTACAAAATGTCCTGATGGTTACGTTTGTTTGAAAGATCGAGGGATAAAGTAAATTTTTGTTTTTTAATCATTAATTTAACAAATTTTTTGTTGATTTTAGTCCTGATTTTGGATATACGAGGTAGATTTTATTTACTTTTGTTTTCATTTAAATTTCGATTGATATAGTTTTGATAATTATGGTTGGGCTATGCTTGCATGTTTTCGATTAATGACACAAGATTATTGGGAAAATCTTTATCAATTAGTAAGACGAAAAAAAAAACGAATTCTATGAATTATTATCATTATTATATTTTAATTTAGATATTGTCAGCAGCTGGTCGTTATCATTTTTTATATTTTCTTGCTATCATATTTTTTGGTTCATTTTATTTGGTTAATTTAATCTTAGCTATCGTCTCCATGTCTTATCTAGACCAACAAAAACTTGTTGAAGCTGAAAATGCAGAACGTGAAAGACGTAAAATTGAAGATGACATTGAATTAAAAAATGAAAAAATACGAAAACCATCAAACGCTCATGCACTTTTACATGTCGGAAATGGACAATGTTTTGAAGATCGAAATGGTAAAATTCCACATTCCGCTGTATCTGTTGAATATGAACAAAATGAAAAAGTAAATCTTTAGAATTTTTTTTCTTATTTAAAATAGAATAAAATTTTTAGAAAAATGAATTAAATAATATACGATCATTTCACATACCACTATCAACGATTGAATTCGATAAGTCAAATTTTATTTTATCTAATGCAACAATAAGTAAGGCTATAACGATACCAATTTTGGATGAAACACAACAAAATTCAGCAAATGAAGACAAAAAAAGTCAACGAACAATCGGCTATCCTAATTTATCACAACGAAATCAAAATCATATTGATTCAGCTATTACAGTAAAAATAAAATATATTTTTTAAATTTTTTTTCTTCTAAAATTTGTCTTAAAGTTTTATCACGCCAAACCTCATATAAAATGTACTCAAAACTTGGATGGAACAAGTATTCAATCACAGAGTGAGTCATATAAATATATACACATTTAAATTTTAGAAGAAAAAATAAGGAATTCTTTCTTTGTGCTTCTTTCACTTTTAACTCTGATTCTTTAAGTTAACATTCCAGAGTACATGTTTATAAGTTTATATATGTATTTGTTTTCGATTGACTATTTAGAACAGTATACTGTATTGTACAAAATCGATCATGGCAATGACAATCAGAAGAATTTATTTGTTGAATGTGAGCTTCAACTAGCGGTGAATGAGCATGAACAGCAATTACAATATTATTATAAAAGACGTATGAACATCGTCATTTCAAGTATGAAAACAACTAATATATATGATCGAGCATTAGTTAAACTTCGACGAATTTATTGTCACAAATTGAGTTGTGAATCGCCAATATGTCAAAAAGTTCAAGTATGTTTTGTTAAATTATAATGCCTCAGTTCGAAAGCATGAAAATATATGCGAGTGATATATTTAGGTTGATCTCTATGCAAAATGTCAAGTCGAAATTCAAAAATTAGTTTCCCTTATTGTAAAAATACAATATTTCCGCTGTAATAAGCCTAGAACCCGAATTCTATTTAGGATATTTCTTGCTAATTAGAATGTACATGATGCTTATACGTATATAGTTCTCAAGATATTTATATATCTTCAACAAGATTCTACTAATGACAAATCCATAAAATAGTCATATATATGTTTTTATAGGCTGCTGTTGCTTTTTTTATATTGGATGCATTTGTTGATTTATTTATTACTATATGTATTATATTAAATACATTATTCATGGCACTTGATCAACCTGGTCAAAGTGAAAAGATGACACGAATTTTAACAACAGGCAATTATATTTTTACAACTATATTCACAGCTGAATCTGTACTAAAAATAATTGCAATGACACCAGCTAAATTTATGAAAAATGGATGGAATGTATTTGATTTATTAATTGTTACAGTTAGTCTTATTGAATTAGGTCTTGCCAATGTAAAAGGTTTAAGTGTTTTACGTTCATTTCGTTTAGTAAGTAATTATAAAATAATTCTTGATTTTTGTTTTATAAAGTTCTTTTTTTAATATTCTGTTAAGTTACGTGTATTTAAATTGGCTAAATCTTGGCAAACATTGAATCGTCTTATGTCAATTATTGGTAAATCATTGGGAGCTTTAGGAAATTTAACATTGGTTCTTATTATTATAATATTTATTTTTGCTGTTGTGGGAATGCAGGTAAATTGAATGAAATTTTCAATAGATTTATTCATTGTGTTTTATAGTTATTTGGTCAAAAATATGCAGATAAATTTGGTAAAGATATGCCAAGATGGAATTTTTTTGATTTTTTTCATGCATTTATGTACGTTTATTTAATAAGTTTACATAAAGGAAAACCAAAAATAAACTGCTTTTTTTTTCTTTTTAAAGGATTGTCTTTCGTGTCTTGTGTGGTGAATGGATTGAATCAATGTGGGTATGTCTTGAATGTGCTGGATGGCCATGTATTCCATTTTTTCTATTAACGTTTGTCATCGGTAATCTTGTGGTATGTAATGCATACTTAAAGAAATTTCTTTTCAACAACTAAAGAATTTCTTAGTGTCTTTTTTTCCTTCTTATCTCAGTTAGTACTCTAAAGCCTAATATATCAGTCATTTCTGAAACTTGTCAGTTATAAATAAAAATATCAGATTTATTAAACAGTCTTAACTTTTTATCCTAACTGTAGGGAACCTATAAACTATATGTTGCTGCAAAAGCTGTTGGGAGGTAAAAATTGACATAACATACATCATATATATTTTTGTTTGCAAATCTTGTTACATTAAACGTTCTAGCGGTATCATTAGCATATGAACGAGACTTATTTAAACATATATAATACAAACAACAGTTTGATTCTTTTTGACGCAAAACAATTTAAAAATTATTGAAACCTCGATTCAATACCGAAATATTATAAAGAGTCCTGTAAAACCTCATTATAACTTGAGCAGATTTTGAACACTTCGAATGTGTCTCAAACGATTGAGTCTTTAGTATTCGATGGATTTTACTAATGGTGACATAAAAATTACAATCTAATCTAACTCAGATAGCTCATATCTTCGAGCTTACTTGCGCAAAGCGTTCAGCCCAAAGCACAATTTTCAACGTCGATCTTTTCGAAAAACAAACCATAACTTTTAACCAAAAGTATCTAGAACGAAGGCTTTGTTTTCAGGTTGTAATTGAATTTTACAGGACTCTTAATAAAAATTTTGATATACAATTGATGGGTCAATATTTTTTGAATCAACTCTCTGTAAAAATCATCAAAGTGCTGTCTTTATTATATATTTTTAACTGAGTCAAATCGGAGAATATCGTGCTTGAGCACTGCTGGCTATCGTTTACGTGGACTGGCTCATATAGAGAGTTTTCTTTCTTTTGCTGTTCATTGAAATCACGTCTATGAAGATAATGTGTAGCAAAATACTAATCAGACACTTTTTTATTTTCTATATTTATAGATACTAAATTTATTTTTGGCACTTTTACTTGCATCATTTGGTTCGAATGTTTTAACTGAAAAAGAAGATGAAGACAATAAAATTGCTGAAGCAATTGATCGTATTCAACAATTTTTTCATTTTCTTATTAAATTTTTTTTTCGTCTATTTGATCGAAAAAAACAAAGACAACAAAAAACTTCTATCGAAAATAATAATACCAATGAAGCTGTAGGTTATAATTAAATTTGTTCAATCATTTATTTTTTATTCAATATGATTTTCTTTGCTTTCGTTAGTCACTTACTGCTACACAAGAATCAATTATTAATCTACCTTTACCAATCTTAAATAAATTAGAAGAATGTAATAATGCTTTCGTCATTTCAACTAATGACTTATCAATAGTACATGAAGATATTGGAAGACAATCAATAAATACTAATTCTATAACATCTCCTCCAACATGGCAAGTGCTTCATATGCCACCAAATTGTTGTCCTACAATTATATCAAAGCATTTTTCTTGTTGTGCGAAATATATTCCAAAATTGATTCAAGAACAATGGACATATCTTCGTAGTCTCGTTCTTTGTATTGTTGAACATCATTTTTTTGAATGGTTTATTATTATTAGTATATTAGCTAGTAGTACAACTTTAGTAAGTTGATCATAGATTAAAAAAAAACAAATAATTGGAAAGAAGTTTTCTTTTGTTTCTACAAAAGGCTTTAGAAGATGTAAATACACGACAACAGCCAACATTTTCTGAAGTTTTAGCTATATTTGATAAGATTTTTACAGTTATATTTACAATTGAATTAATATTAAAATGGTTTGCATACGGAATAAGACATTACTTTACAAGTGGTTGGAATTGGTTAGATTTTATTATTGTAGTTGTTAGTGTTCTTGGAACTGTTCTTGATATATTTGATGTAGCTGATATTCCAGCATTTAAATCCATGAGAACATTAAGAGCTTTACGTCCATTAAAAGCATTATCAAGATTTGAAGGAATTCGAGTATAAAACTAATTAATTTAATTGTCCGTGTTTTATTGTTTTCAAATAGGTTGTTGTCAATGCATTATTTGGTGCCATACCATCAATTTTTAATGTTTTACTTGTTTGTCTTGTATTTTGGTTGATATTTTCAATAATGGGTGTACAATTATTTGGTGGAAAATTTTATAAATGTGTTTATGTTGGTACACATGATCGTGTTCATATATCCGAAAATATAACGAATAAAATTGATTGTTTAAATAGAAATTTTACATGGGAAAATTCACGAATTAATTTTGATAATGTTCTTAGTGGTTATTTGGCTTTATTTCAAGTTGTAAGTTATTAAATTTGATTTAATTGAATGAAACAAAAGATATTTTCCAATATGAAAAATTAATAAACTTATTAAGTTACAAAATAAATATTACAACTAACTTTCATTTTTTGTAGATCTGGATCAAAACTCGCAGCTTCCTATTCTTTAGAGTATATGTACTAGTTCCTTATTGCATTTTTGAAGGATAAAATAAAAGAATGATGATGTGTCTCAAGATAGACTTATAGTTCTAGCTGAGACGATTTTTTTCTCGTGATCCTGGTTCCAGTGATCGAGACCGAAACTAAAGTTGACTACATACATCTCATCGTATATTTCATTCGTATCCTACAATGGTTATGTAAACCCCTTTGTTAATAATTTAGCTTGCGAATATTTACATGGTTATTCTGGCAATAATTAAATTTTTGTTTTCTTCTCATAGGCAACTTTCAAAGGTTGGATTGAAATAATGGCTGATGCAACTGATGTCAAAGAAGTATAGAATGATTTCTCTTAGTTTTCTCAATATCTATATTTCTGTTTTTTTTTTTTTATACAATACAATTATTTAGATAGACGTTCAACCAGAATATGAGACTAATGTTTATATTCTTATTTATTTTGTGTTATTTATTATATTTGGTTCATTTTTTACTCTCAATTTATTTATTGGTGTTGTTATTGATAATTTTAATCAACAAAAACGAAAATTAAGTTTTCTTATTAATTTAATAAGATGATAAATAATAGGAAATTATTGATTTTTTTTTTAAATTTTAGTTAGGAGCTGATGGTTCATTAGAAATGTTTATGACAGAAGATCAAAAAAAATATTATAATGCTATGAAAAAAATGGGCAATAAGAAACCGACTAAAGCATTACCAAGGCCAAGAGTAAATTTTTCAAACCAATGAGTGTATATATACATATACATATATTAATTTTCTGTTTATTTTAGTTTGCTCTTGCAAGATTTCTTTTTGATTTAACAACAAATCAAAAATTTGATATATTTATAATGATATGTATTTTTCTTAATATGCTTTGTATGTGTCTTGAACATTATAATCAAAGTCGTACTTATGATCTTGTTCTTGGATATATGAATAATTTTTTCGTTGCAATGTAAGTAAATAATAAAAAAAAAATTCGCAATGTATTAGGAGAAAGGGTATTCATCAATCTGAATTATAGCTCTCTTACATGCTACTAAAACATAGGTCTCAACAATTTCAAAATAGTTCATTTTATTAAGCGACATACACACTGTTAACTTTAATGTCTTCTAAATTCATTGGTAAAATTTACTTTACTCATGACATTTGTGTACTATATGCTGCTGATTAAAATGATATCCTACAAACTACGAAGATACAAAAGTTTCCCACAAGCATACATTGAAAGCACGATGATTTCACTAGAAGATCTCAATAGGAAAAGTTGAATGTCACACATTAGTAAGGTACTGAGTCGATCATAAAAATTTATCCTTAGTAGCTTTAGATCTGGGTCATTTTTAAGCAATATAAGCGATACTGTGTGAAAGAAAATTTTAAAAAGAATTATGATCATATATCTCTGCGTTGTATGCAAAGGTGCTCACTTGCTGTCTTCTGAAATAGTAACATAGAAGTATATAAATTAGAATTCAAGAAAATTAAAAATTTCCGCGCACTCGAATTCGTATTGTGTATTCTGAACATATGTGACGATCACCATTTCATTTTCATGACGTCAAATATAAAGTTAATCAATTACATCGAGATTTCTAATCTTTTTGTCGGAATTTCTTTGAGGAGGACTTCCAGGCAACTATCTACTAAATAGTGATGATTGATCATTTGCTCTTGTTCCAGATGGCGCATTAGCATGAGGCCAGCCGTTTTGAAAAAGATGCAAAATAGGGTTTTTGAAGCAAAGTGCCTGTGTTGAGCTACCATAGGCAGCGTTCGACACAATTTTCGACCAATTATATTTTCTTGATATACTCGAATTCATTCGGCCCGTTGATTATCAGTCAACAAGCTGGATTCCAGCGAGTTATAGTGTTTTCAGTTTCAGATGGTTAGAAATACTTCGTTTAATAGTGCTGCAATCTATACCAGTGTCTACTTGTATTTCATCAATAAGAATAGAGGGGTATCGTTCCCAAGTGAAATTTTTCATATAATTGAAATTAATGAAATCAACTGTTATCTCTGTTATATAATGATATTAATTTAGATTTACTATTGAATGTATTATCAAATTGATTGCATTAAATTTTAAATATTTTACTATTCCATGGAATGTATTTGACTTTATCATTGTAATTGCATCAATTCTTGGTATGTCGTTTTCTTCATTCATTTTTATTAAATATGTTATTTCTTTCTAGGACAAACATTAGGAGAAATTATGGCACAATTTTTTGTTCATCCAACATTATTACGTGTAATTCGTGTTGCACGTGTTGGAAGAATATTGCGTTTAGTGAAAGGTTCGATTTAAAAGAAACCAATAAATCGTAGACTTTTTCAAGTTTTTATTTATTTATTTTTTTTATAAAGGAGCCAAAGGTATTCGAACATTACTTTTTGCATTAGTTGTTTCAATGCCTGCTTTATTAAATATTGGTCTTCTTCTTTTTCTTGTCATGTTTATCTATTCAATATTTGGAATGTCATTTTTTGCTTATGTAAAAAAATCAGCTGGTATAACAGATTTATTTAATTTTGAAACATTTCCTAATTCAATGATTGTACTTTTTCAAATGTGTACAACTGCCGGTTGGTCTGGTGTCTTTCAAGCATTAACAAATGATCGACCACCAGATTGTAATCCAACTATAAATACACCATCAAATAAAGGTGATTGTGGTGATGCGGCTATTGCAACGCCATTTATTGTAAGCTATGTAATAATTACTTCTCTCGTTGTAGTAAGTATTAGAAAAAAAATTTTATTTTGATCTTTTCTGATTTCGTATTATCATTTAGGTCAATATGTATATTGCAGTAATATTAGAAAATTTTTGTCAAGCACACGAAGATGTGCAACAAGTAAATAAATGAAGGGAAACATTTTTTTTGGATTTTGTTTTTTTTTATTTTGGCTAGGGCTTAACTGATGATGATTATGATATGTATTATGAAAAATGGCAACATTTAGATCCATCGGGTTCACAATTTATACGATATGATCAATTATCAGATTTTGTTGATGGTCTTGAACCACCATTACGTATACCTAAACCAAATCATTTAGCGCTTGTTGCTATGGATTTACCCATATGTGAACATGATCGTATGCATTGTGTTGATATACTTGATGGTCTTACAAAATATTTTCTTGGTACACTTCATGCGTCAGTAGCAAGTACTGAAGCTGATGCACCAATTGATATAAAAAAAGATCGTCCAAAAGATTATCATCCTATAACAACAACCGTACAACGTCATCGTGAACTTTATTTAAGTCGAATAGGTTTAAAAGGTTTTCGAACTAATGTTGAACGACGTCAAAATGAACGACAAAATCAAAAATCAATACTTAAAGAAGCTACCATTGATAAGTTCATTGAATCAGATGACTTACAAACACCAACATGATAAAAACAAACATGAATACAAACTATTTTTTAATACATCATTAATTTATTGTTTTGCAACGAGAGCATCATGCGAATGGGACTGAAAAACATATAAGACCATGTTTATTTATTATACTAGGCTTGTTTGCTATAATATAATTATTTCATGCAGAATTGCATTTCTATATATATATGATTGCAGTGAAGTTAAATTCAGCGATTGAATAGAAATGTTTATTTTTGTTTTAATAAAATAAGATTATATTCTTTCATATATATAGAAAAAGGACTTTGAAAGTCATTAGTCGAAACACTTCTATTGTTTCGAATTTTCATTTTTGTCTGTTAGAGATGTCTATCTATTGTCACTTACAAATTACTGTAAGAATTGTAGATGTAGGGTGGTTCTGAGTGCCAATTGGCAAGAAATTATTCATGACCAAATCCATACCCTCAAGAAAAAATGAGGTGATTATTCATCATTGAAAAGTGTTTGAATTCGAAATTATTGATATGTATCAATGTTATTGAGAAAGCAGTAAATAAAAAACAAAAACATGCCTCAAGATGATGTTTTTTTTTTGCAAAGAATGGAGAAGAATAAAATTACAAATTAACCAATGCTTACTTGTTCTTGTTAAAACAATATAAAACGCTGAAGTCGTGCATTGCTGAGATGTGGATGAATTTATCAATTAAGCGAGATGACTGATGAAAACTATTAATAAGAAATTTACGAATTCACGCTTGAATCGTTCTAATTGAGTCTTAAGCATGTGAAACATCATTTAAATGATGTTGCTTTGTGTACGCTACAAGAACACACGTGACAAAATGAATAGAAAAAGAATTTTAATAGCATGGTTCCCATCTAAAAGAGTTTCCATGAAATCAGTAGTCAAGCCGAAGACTTAAGTAAAAGTATAGGCTATCTTAAGGAAGATCCACAATGTAGTTGATAGAATACAAAATGCTTAATTCTTATTTATCACCAGACAAACAATTTAGACGAATATTTATACTTGTTTCTCTCATCTCGTTTTCCTTCAACATTGATTGAATGAAATAATTCATGCTTCTCTTTCATATAAATATTTTCTCATTCAAACCTATCGAATATGATCAAATATTTACGCTTTCTTATTGACAAAACATATCGCTCTTTTTGAATATCGAGCCTTATTTCTTTAACAAACCTAAAGCTTATAGTTGACCGCTTCATTCGTGACAAGATCAGATTTGCTATACGTGCCTGTGTTGAGAAAATCAATTCCGAACGAAGGCTATTTTTTTCTTATTTAATTGATTTTTTACTAATCATGGACAGTAATATTTCTGAAATAATATCTATAGAAATAGTTTTTCGGAGTGAATAGATAGTTTCAAAAGAGAAAAAGTATTCAGA